GGCTCAGCTCTGGGCCCCTCACTGCAAGAGAGACCTTGAGGGGCTGGAGCGGGGCCAGAGCAGGGCAATGGAGCTGGTGCAGGGCCTGGAGCCCAAGGGTGATGGGGAAGGGCTGAGGGAGCTGGGGGGTTCAGATGGAGAAGAGAAGGCTCAGGGGGGACCTGATGGCTGCCTCCAACTGCCTGACAGGAGGATGGAGCCAGGAGGGGCTGGGCTCTGCTCCCAAGGAACAAGGGATGGGACAAGAGGAACCGGCCTCAAGCTGCACCAGGGCAGGGTTAGATGGAGCTGAGGAACAATTCCTGCCCCAGAGGGTGCTCAGAGAGCCCCCATCCCTGCGGGTGTTCAGGGGATGCTCCCCTCGGTGCCATGGGGCAGTGCTGGGTGATGGTTGGACCGGATGAGCTTAAAGCTCCCTCCCTGGTGCCATCCCTCCTCCCCCTTGGTTCCCATTATCCCACTGGGATCCCCCCCTGCAGGAGATGCCCTCAGTGTCCGTGCTGGACTATGCTCCCCTCGTTGCCATGGTAACCATGGGTCAGGAGGTGATGCTCCCCATAGCCACAGCACTCACATTGATCATGGCATTGGAGGTGATGCGGAAGAGCGTGGCGCGCTCATTCACTTGCTTGATCTTCTCGGTGCTGTCTGCAGGCAGGCGCAGGCTCTCGAGCTCGCTGAGCGAGCGCTGCAGGGCCGTGCCGTGCTTGGCAATGAGGTCGTTGCAGGTGCTCAGGTCCTCCACCTTGCTGGCCAGGGTGCGCAGGGTGCTCTGCAGCTCTGTCTTGTCCGTCTGTGGCACTGCCTCGTCCCCTGAGTCATCTGTATGGGGTAATGGGGGGGGAGCAGAGAGAATGGGGTCCATGTGGGGTATAGGGGAGCGTGGGATGGAGCTGGGCTGGGGCAGCCTGGATAAGAGCAGGCTCCTGAAGGGGAGACCTTAGAGCAGCTCCAGTGCCTAAAGGGGCTGCAGGGAACCTGGAGAGGGGCTTGGGACAAGGGCCTGTAGGGCCAGGCCAAGGGGAATGGCTTGAACCTGCCCGAGGGGAGACTGAGCTGAGCTCTTAGGCAGAAGCTCTTCCCTGTGAGGGTGCTGAGGCGCTGGCACAGGGTGCCCAGAGAAGCTGTGCCTGCCCCATTCCTGGCAGTGCTCAAGGACACAGGGGCTCGGAGCACCCTGCTCCAGTTGGAACTGGAGGAGCTTTAAGCCCCATCCCAACCCAAACCACTCTGGGATTCAATGGACGCAGCAGCAGATCCCCATTCCCAAAGGCTGGAGCTGCACTCGGGGCGCTCCCATCCACAGCATCCCATATTGGGAACGCAGCAGCAGACGGCCCCTTCTCAAGGCACAGCATCAATCCCACCACTGAGGACCTCAGTGCCCGGTGCTGACAGCTCCTCAACCCAGAGCAGGCAGCAGGAACCATGGCAAGATCCATGGGGATGGACACCACAACCCCTTCCCTACCCCACTGTGGGTACCCAGTGATGCCATCCCTCCGCAGCATCCCAAACTGGAGCGTGGATGGGTTTGCAAGCAGCAGCGAGCAATTGGAGCTTGGGAATGGGGGAAAAGAGATGGGATCGTGCACAAAGAACCCGGGATCAAAGCACGGGTGCAGAAAGGGGTGCTCAGGGCACCTTTATGGGGTTCCTTTGGTCCATACCTGACTCCTCCAGCATCTTGACAGCCTTGGCCTTGGCCAGCTCGAGGGCAGTGACCCAGCGCTGCCGCTCCACCTCGGAGCTGGCTTTGAGGTGATAGGTCTGAGCACCACCATTGGAGATGATGAAGTTGCACGAGTCCTCCACGGTGATGTTGGCCGTGGCCAGGTTGATGGTGCCGCGGCACGTGTGCCGCATCTCCGCCTTGGAGCTGCGGAGGGAACGGGGAATGGGGCAGGATGGGGCCCAGCGTAAAGGGTGGGCCAGTGGGGAGGGCTGGTGGGAGTGGGGTAAATGTGGTTATGGGGGGGGGGTGCAGAGCCCTCAGGAGCAGACTTAGGGTCTAATCCCTGGTGAGCATCCTTAGGGAGCATCCTTAGGGAGCATCCTCAGGGACCCTCTTCTTGAGCATCCTTAGGGGTCCCCTTGGTGAGCATCCTTACGGATCCCCTTACGGAGTATCCTTACAGATCCCCTTGGTGAGCATCCTTAGGAGTCCCCTTGGTGAGCATCCTTAGGAAGCATCCTTAGGGATTCCCTTGGTGAGCACCCTTAGGGATCATCTTGGTGAGCACCCTTAGGGAGCATCCTTAGGGATTCCCTTGGAGAGCATCCTTAGGGAGCATCCTTAGGGATCCCCTCAGTGAGCACCCTTAGGAAGCATCCTTAGAGATCCCCTTAGTGATCATCCTTAGGGATCCCCTCAGTGAGCACCCTTAGGGGATCCCCTCAGTGAGCACCCTTAGGGAGCATCCTTAGGGATCCCCTTAGTGAGCACCCTTAGGAAGCATCCTTAGGGATCCCCTTGGTGAGCACCCTTAGGGATCATCTTGGTGAGCACCCTTAGGGAGCATCCTTAGGGATCCCCTCAGTGAGCATCCTTAGGAAGCATCCTTAGGGATCCCCTTGGTGAGCATCCTTAGGGATCATCCTTAGGGAGCATCCTTGGAGAGCATCCTCAGGGACCCGCTTATGGATACCCTTGGTGAGCACCCTTACGAAGCATCCTTACGGATCCCCTTGGTGAGCATCCTTTGGGAGCATCTTTAGGGGTCCCCTTGGTGAGCACCCTTAGGAAGCATTCTTAGGGATTCCCTTGGTGAGCACCCTTAGGGATCATCTTGGTGAGCACCCTTAGGGAGCATCCTGAGGGATCCCCTTGGAGAGCATCCTTAGGGAGCACCCTTAGGAAGCATCCTTAGTGATCCCCTTGGTGAGCATCCTTAGGGAGCACCCTTAGGAAGCATCCTTAGTGATCCCCTTGGTGAGCATCCTTAGGGAGCACCCTTAGGGATCCCCTCAGTGAGCACCCTTAGGCAGCACCCTTAGGAAGCATCCTTAGTGATCCCCTTGGTGAGCATCCTTAGGGAGCACCCTTAGGAAGCATCCTTAGGGAGTACCCTTAGGGATCCCCTCAGTGAGCACCCTTAGGCAGCACCCTTAGGGTATCCCCTTGGTGCCTCCATATCCCGGTACGGAGCAGGGCGAGGGCCCGGGCCAAGCCCGTGCCAGGCGGGCGCTCCCCTTCCACGTCACCGGGCCCGGAGGGAGGGACACGGAGCCGCCGGGACACCCGCCCCCCTCCGTTCCCCTCCCTGTAACAGGAGCCCGCGGCTCCGGTTCCCGCTGCATAACGAGGGTGCAGCCCCCCCCAACGGGGCTCGGGTGGCACCGAAGGGCCCGGGGGGACAAGGCCGCTGCTCCCACCGGGGACACGGCCACGGAGGGGCCTCGGTGGCACCAGCACCCCCCCCATAGACCCGGGGCTGGGCCCAAGGTCACACCGGAGCCCCATGGAGGAGGGGGGGAAGCCGCGGGGCCCCCCGGTACGTACCGGTAGTAGCTGAGGAGCCCGTTGCTGAGCACGAACCAGCGGCGCTGGTAGCCCTTGATGTAATTGGTCCACTTGAAGAGCCACCCCTCGCGGGCCGAGCCGGAACCGGACCCGGAACCGGACCCGGAGCCGGAACCGGACCCACCCGCCCCGGAGCCACCACCGGAGCCACCACCGGAACCACCCCCCGGTGCCGCCGTCGGTGCAGGCCCCGCTCCGCCGCTCGCTGCCGGGGAAGGCAGCGCCGGGGCCGCGGGCAGCGCCATAGGCCCGGGCAGAGCCGCCGGGCCGGGCCCCGCGGCCGCCGCCGCCGCTCGCAGCTCCGCCATCGCCGCCGCCCCGCCGCGATGCCGTCAACCGGCTCCGCCCCCTACGGGCGCTTGATTGGTGGAGGCCGAGGCCGAGCGCGCTCTGATTGGTGGGAGAGGCAAGGAGGGGCGGTGCTTGAGTTCCTATTGGCTGATAGCGCGCTTGTCCGCCGGTGCTTTCTCGCATCAATCAACGCGGGTGGGCGGGGCCGAGAGGCGTAACGGTGACTCATCCTTGCGCGCGATTGGCTGGGAGGGCGGGGCTTCGCTCAGGTCGCGCTGTCATTGGTGGAGAAGCGGGAAAGGGCGGGGCTTATGCACTGAGGGGTGCTGAGGGCTGAGGGGAGCCGCCATTACCGAAGGGGGAACGGGGCCGGTGGGGTCGAGTCTCTCGTTAAGGGCAGGCCCGGAGGGGGCCGCACCTCGGCGGGGAGGGGGCTTCAGAGCTCCGGGACATCCCCAAGGCTTTAGGGGGGTGATGCGGGTGAACCCCGGCCCCGCAGCGCTGGGGGTGTACGAGGGGCAATGGGGGGGCTCCGGGTCGGGAAGCAGAGGCCAGGCCGGCAGCAGTATACAATTCATCTTTATTTACAAGAACCCTATAAAAATGTAAATTTAGAAACTTTATTCTCATTTACCAGAACCGAAAACTTGCGGGGGGGGAAGGAGAGGGGGGGAATGGGTGGAAACCCCCCCAAAAACAACCAAAAAAGGCCAAAAAAGGACAAGAAATTCATCATGAATGAACTTTCCACTTGCTTGATGATGGGGAGAGGGGCAGGGGGTGGTTAATGCCAAAGGTGGGGGGGGATAAAATACCTCCATGTGCAAATCTCGGGGTGGTTTCTCTTAAAAGCCAAAAAAAGGGATAAAATAAGCGCCCCCCCCCATTCCCTGCTGCCGTCTTCCCAAGGAGGAATCCAGCGGGATCCATGCGGATCGGGAGGAGCGATCCCAAGGGGAAGGGATGGAGCCGACACAGGGGAAAAGAAGGCAAGTGTGCAAAGGGGGGGGGGGTATGGGTGTGTGTATACGCGTGTTCACACGTGTTCATGTGTGTCCCTGCGTGTTCACACGGGCAGGGAACAGAGCTCAGTGCTCAATGGGGGTCAGGGAGGGAGAAGGGCTGCATCCCCCCCCCCCCATCACCCCTGAATGGGAATGGGGGGGCTTCTCCCATCCGTGTGCATGGGGGGGGGGAGCAGCTAAACACCCCCCAGCACCTCTTTATCCCATGATTTTGGGGTGGGAGAAGTGTTTTCTCCCATAATTTTGGGGTGAAAAAGGGATTCTCTCATGATTTTGGGGTGGGAGAAGTGTTTTCTCCCATAATTTTGGGGTGAAAAAGGGATTCTTCCATGATTTTCGGGTGGGAGAATGTTTTCTCCCATAATTTTGGGGTGAAAAAGGGATTCTCCCATGATTTTGGGGTGGGAGAAGTGTTTTCTCCCATAATTTTGGGGTGAAAAAGGGATTCTTCCATGATTTTCGGGTGGGAGAATGTTTTCTCCCATAATTTTGGGGTGAAAAAGGGATTCTCCCATGATTTTGGGGTGGGAGAAGTGTTTTCTCCCATAATTTTGGGGTGAAAGAGGGATTCTTCCATGATTTTCGGGTGGGAGAATGTTTTCTCCCATAATTTTGGGGTGAAAAAGGGATTCTCCCATGATTTTGGGGTGGGAGAAGTGTTTTCTCCCATAATTTTGGGGTGAAAAAGGGATTCTTCCATGATTTTGGGAGGGAGAAGTGTTTTCTCCCGTAATTTTGGGGTGAAAGAGGGATTCTTCCATGATTTTCGGGTGGGAAAGGTGTTTTCCCATGATTTTGGGGTGGGAGAGGTGTGTTCTCCCATAATTTTGGGGTGAAAGAGGGATTCCTCCATGATTTTGGGGTGGGAAGGGGCTTTTCCCATGATTTTGGGGTGGGAGAGGTGTTTTCTCCCATAATTTTGGGGTGAAAGAGTGACTCTTCCATGATTTTGGGGTGGGAAAGGGCTTTTCCCATGATTTTGGGGTAGGAGAGGTCTGTTCTCCCATGATTTTGGGGTGGGAGAGGTGTTTTCTCCCATAATTTTGGGGTGAAAGACGGATTCTTCCATGATTTTGGGGTGGGAAAGGTGTTTTCTCCCATAATTTTGGGGTGAAAGAGGGACTGTTCCATGATTTTGGGGTGGGAAAGGTGTTTTCTCCCATAATTTTGGGGTGAAAGACGGATTCTTCCATGATTTTGGGGTGGGAAAGGTGTTTTCCCATGATTTTGGTGCAGGAGAAGTGTGTTCTCCCCTCATTTTGGGGTAGGAAAGCTTTCTCCCAGCGTTTTGGGCTGGAAGAAATGATGTCTCCCGTAATTTCAGAGCGGAAGAGGGATTCTTCCATGCTCTTTGGGGCAGGAGAGCTGTGTTCTCCCATCATTTTGGGGTGGAAAAGGGTTTCTCCCCAGATTTTAGCCTGGAGGAGGTGTTCTCGGCCATGATTTTGGGGTGGGAGAAGCGCTTTCCCCAAGGTTTGGGGCTGGGAAAGGTGTTCTCCCACCCCAACACAGCGGGATGACGATGGTTGGGGTGTATTGGGGGGGGAACCCATGCCCTCCATCCATCTTCAGGAACACTCCGGTGCCGAGGAGCCGCAGAGGTGATGTCCTACCGGATCCCGTGCACTAAGCTGGGATGTTGGGAAAACAAGGATGGAAAAGGGTCAAAGGAGATGGAAAAAGGATGGGAAAGACCCCCCCCCCCCACACTCGTCCCAGTTTGGGGGTGCACTTACTGCAGTTTTGTCTCCAGCAGGTTGAGCTTCTGCTGGTCCACGTAGCGAGAGAAGAGGGAGAGGAGGTTGGAAGGGGTGGACACCGGCTTGGCCAAAGCTGCCTGAGGGATGCGCAGGAGCTCCCGGGTTGCCATGAGCATCAGCTCCGTCCTGTTGGGAATGCAATGGGAAGAGAGGAGCCCATCAGGAGGTGCTGTAGGGTTCCTTCTTCATCACCCTTTCCTCCTTATGGAGACACTCACCACTGGTTGTCCTGCATGAGCTCCGTGCTGCTGTCCGAGCTCTGCAGCTCCTCCCCACGGCTCAGGACCAAGTACAGCAGGGACAGCCCGAACTGCATGGAGATAGGGAGGTTGGGAAGGAATCCCTATGGCAGTGGGGAGCTTTCCTCCCTAGAATCACCTCCCAGTCCTGCTGGGGATGGTGGGGAGATCCCTGACAACACCCTAAGGAGGAGAGACTTGGAACGGGCTCATGCTGGTGTCCCTGGAATGCTTTGTGCTGGAAGGGAGCTTAAATCCCATCCAGCTCCATCCCCAACCCCTTGCACTGGAGCAGCTTGCTCCGAGCCCCTGTGTCCTTGAGCACTGCCAGGGATGGGGCAGCCACAGCTTCTCTGGGCACCCTGTGCCAGCGCCTCAGCACCCTCACAGGGAAGAGCTTCTGCCTAAGAGCTCAGCTCAGTCTCCCCTCGGGCAGGTTCAAGCCATTCCCCTTGGCCTGGCCCTACAGGCCCTTGTCCCAAGCCCCTCTCCAGGTTTCCTGCAGCCCCTTTAGGCACTGGAGCTGCTCTAAGGTCTCCCCTTCAGGAGCCTCCCCTTGTCCAGGCTGCTCCATCCCATACTCCAAACAGCCCCGCATCCCTCCTGCTGCTGCCCCATAGCCAAACACCCCCAATTCCCCAACAAAGGAAGCACAGAACCGGTGCCATGGCTACACCCAGCACTGGGAGAACCCCAAGGATTGAGCTGGGAAGGCTGAGTGGGCATCACCTTGTTCTGGAGCACAGCAGTGAGGTGCAGGTTGGTGGGCGCTGGTGCGGGTGCGCTCTGAGGTAGGTTTGTTAACTGCTGCACGAGGCTGGTGACTGTCCCCAGGGGAAGGTGGTAGAGGACGTGGGAGAAGGGCCTCAGCAGGCAGGGCAGCACCTGCAGGGAGAGGAGCAGAGGGGTGAGAGCAGGGAATTGTGCTTCCCATGGGATGCTGTGCACGGCAGCAAGCTCCTGCACCAGCACTGCCTCCGCTTCCCACCCCTTTAGGCTTCAGGTCCCATCAGATTGTTGCCTTTTGCCTTCCAAATCCTCCTTTTTTTCTCCAAACAAGCTTGGATTTATTCCATGGATCCCTGTGGGTTTATTCCAGGGATCCCTGTGGTTTTATTCCGTGGATCCCTGTGGTTTTATTCCGTGGATCCCTGTGGTTTTATTCCATGGATCCCTGTGGTTTTATTCTGTGGATCCCTGTGGTTTTATTCTGTGGATCCCTGTGGTTTTATTCCGTGGATCCCTGTGGGTTTATTCCATGGATCCCTGTGGTTTTATTCCACGGATCCCTGTGGTTTTATTCCATAGATCCCTGTGGTTTTATTCCGTGGATCCCTGTGGTTTTATTCCATGGATCCCTGTGGTTTTATTCTATGGATCCCTGTGGTTTTATTGCGTGGATCCCTGTGGTTTTATTCCACGGATCCCTGTGGTTTTATTCCACGGATCCCTGTGGTTTTATTCTATGGATCCCTGTGGTTTTATTCCATGGATCCCTGTGGGTTTATTCCACAGATCCCTGTGGTTTCACTCCACGGATCCCTGTGGTTTTATTCCACAGATCCATGTGGGTTTACTCCATGGATCCCTGTGGTTTTACTCTATGGATCCCTGTGATTTTATTCCACAGATCCATGTGGTTTCACTCCATGGATCCCTGTGGTTTTACTCTATGGATCCCTGTGATTTTATTCCACAGATCCATGTGGTTTCACTCCATGGATCCCTGTGGTTTTACTCTATGGATCCCTGTGATTTTATTCCACAGATCCATGTGGTTTCACTCCATGGATCCCTGTGGTTTCATTCCACGGATCCCTGTGGTTTCATTCCATGGATCCCTGTGGTTTCACTCCACGGATCCCTGTGGTTTTATATTCCATGGATCCCTGTGGTTTTATTCCACAGATCCCTGTGGTTTTATATTCCATGGATCCCTGTGGTTTTGTTCCATGGATCCCTGTGGTTTTATTCCCTACATAAACCAGGCTGCAAAGGACACCAGGAGCTCAGCCCTTGGAACCCTGTCCCCTCTTCTCCATGCCTCCATTGTCACTCAATGAGCTGGGCCTATGGCTCTTCAGACAAGACCCGGACTCAACCAAAGGCCCTGTGTCCCAAACCCTCCCTCTTCCTTCCCGTGCTGTGCCAGCAGTGGGGATGGACCCTGCCAGGAGCTCCTGCAGCCTTCCCAATGTCCCACCAGGGGCAGGATCCATCCTTAGGACACTGCTTGCCCTCAAACAAGAGGAGAGGAGATCAGCTCCATCCCCACAGCAGATCACAGCAAGGAGACCATTCCCAACCTCTGGAATCTCACCTCATCCTGAGCATCCTTCTTGATGAGGAAGGGCAGGTTCCTGGCTGTGGCCATGAGCACGTCGGCCCCTTGCTCTGGGGACAGGAAGGGCAGGATGCGGGCTACGAGGCGCTTCCCTTTGCGGATGCACATGATCTGCATGAAGTGGTCATCGCTCGGCCTGGGGAGGAGAGAAGATTCCAACACTTGGGAAGTGTTCCTTGGGGAAGTGCCCATAACCAAGCCACGGAGCCCACCTCCCACTGACCTGTCCTGCCCGGGTGCCTTCCCCCTCAGGTTGTCGTACATGTCACAGATCTTCTGCTTCCTCTCGCCCATCAGGGCCGGCCTCTCCCCTTCCAGGCTCAGGAGGTAGCGTCTCTCATAGTCCTCTACGTCCAGGAGGAGGCTGTATGTCTGCAGGAGACACAGGGATCTGCTTGTGCTGCTCCATAGGGAACCAGGATGCCTTTTCCCCAACCACGGCTGTCCCATCTCCTTTGCTGCCTATAGGAAGGGTGTATCCTGACCAGATCCCATCCAAACCTCCTTCAACCCCAGTATGGGAATGGATTGAGCAGGGGATCCTGTGTCCTGGGTGGCTGCAGAGCTCATGTGTTACCACTCTTAGTCCATAAGAGACCATCCAAAGCCCATCCAGGCTGGGTCCCACCTCCAGCCTTTGCCCATGAGCAGAACCTCAGCCACCACCTGGATGTCCATAGGAGCTCAATGGTACCAACCCCACACTCCCCATGCCCACTCCTTCTCCTTGATGCCCCACCACGCACCTCCTGAGGACCATAGCGACCCATTGGAACCCACCTTCTCGATCGTGACAAGGGTCTGGCGCCTCTTGTCCCGAACCTGCTTCTCCTTTGTCTCCTGTTGCGTTGGGGACAATGGGTCAAGGCTGTGACAGCTCCAATGGTGGCCAACCACCAGCCCCAGAGCTGCACTGGAGGGGAGGCAGGAGCAGGACTCACATCATCCTCACTGCGGGACGTCACCACGGCGTCGATCATCTTGCGAGGGTTGTTGACGCTGGAGACTGTGAGCTTCCCTAGGGAGCCCTCAAACTGCACTGCAGGAAGGAGGGGGGCACAGGGAGTCAGGGTGGAGATCAGCCCATCTCGTCCATCTCCAGGCCAGCAGGAGCACTGGGGCTACCTCCTAACTCTGTCCAGCACCAGCAAATCCCAGTGTCCCAGCCTGGAATGAATCATCACCACCCTATACCCATAGAGATGCGTGGAGAACACCACCCCCCTACACCCATAGAGATGTGTGCAGAACACCACCCCCTACACCCATAGAGATGCGTGCAGAACACCAGCACCCTACACCCATAGAGATGTGCAGAACCACCACGACCCTACACCTATAGAGGTGTGTGCAGAACACCACCACCCTACACCCATAGAGATGTGCAGAACACCACCACCCCCCTACACCCATAAAGATGCGTGCAGAACACCACCACCCTATACCCATAGAGATGCATGGAGAACCACCACCCCCCTACACCCATAGAGATGTGTGCAGAACCACTACCCCCCTACACTCATAGAGATGTGCAGAACACCACCACCCTACACACATAAAGATGCATGGAGAACACCACCACCCTACACCCACAAAGATGAGCAGAGAACCAATACCACCCTACACCCATAGAGATGTGTGCAGAACCACCACCACCCTACACCCACAGAGCTGTATGGAGAACCACCACCACCCTACACCCATAGAGCTGTATGGAGAACCACCACCACCCTACACCCATAGAGATGTGTGCAGAACACCACCACCCTACACCCATAGAGATGTGTGCAGAACACCACCCCCCTACACCCATAAAGATGTGTGCAGAACACCACCACCCTATACCCATAGAGATGCATGGAGAACACCACCACCCTACACCCACAGAGATGAGCAGAGAACCAATACCACCCTACGCCCATAGAGATGTGTGGAGAACCATCACCACCCTACACCCATACAGGTGTGTGGAGAACCACCACCACCCTACACCCACAGAGCTGTAGGGAGAACCACCACCACCTTACACCCATAGAGATGTGTGGCAAACCACCACCAGCCTACACCCATAGAGCTGTATGGAGAACACCACCCTCTACCCATAGAGCTATATGGAGAACCACCACCACCACCACCCTACACCCATAGAGCTGTATGGAGAACCACCACCACCCTACACCCACAGAGCTGTATGGAGAACCACCACCACCCTACACCCACAGAGCTGTATGGAGAACCACCACCACCCTACACCCACAGAGCTGTATGGAGAACCACCACCACCCTACACCCATAGAGCTGTATGGAGAACCACCACCACCCTACACCCACAGAGCTGTATGGAGAACCACCACCACCCTACACCCACAGAGCTGTATGGAGAACCACCACCACCCTACACCCATAGAGCTGTGTGGAGAAGGGAGCCCTGACCTGGCTTGTAGGTGTGCTCCAGCTTGGCCACCTGAGGTGTGATGAGTTTAGTGCGTTCCTTCTTGGGACCATCACCGTGGACTTCCTCCGCTGCTGACAACTTCTCCAGCTTCTGGAAGTAATTCTGAGGATGGGGGGAGAGAAGAGGTTGAGCCCCCACCAAGAACCCAGCACATCCCACTGCCCAGCGTGTGCTCCATCCCTTCCCAGTACCACCAGTAGCCTCTAAACCACTGCAAGAGATGCTCCTCCTCTTTCCCATCACAAACAACGCCAACTCCACAACCCCTGTGTGATCCCTGACCCCAAGTCCTTCCCAGTACATTCCTCTTCACCCCATTGCTCCATCAGCACCATGGGAGGCTGGGGCCTCCCCCACTGCTGTTGTCCCATCCAGCCCGGCCAACGGTCGCCTCTTGTGCAATGGAGCAGCTCTGCTGACTCAGCCCGGTTGTGGCAGCTCCAGTTCCTCTGCTCTGCTGGGGATCTGCTCATCCCCAGCTCCCAGAGCCCCTCTGGAAGCAGCCCCAGGGATCCATGGGTTCCCAATGGAGTGAGGCCATGGAGCAGCTCTGCTCTGGAGCCAAACTGGGAGAGCTGGGCTGGGGCAGCCTGGACAAGAGAAGGCTCCTGAAGGGGAGACCTTAGAGCAGCTCCAGTGCCTAAAGGGGCTGCAGGGAACCTGGAGAGGGGCTTGGGACAAGGGTCTGTAGGGACAGGCCAAGGGGAATGGCTTGAACCTGCCCGAGGGGAGACTGAGCTGAGCTCTTAGGCAGAAGCTCTTCCCTGTGAGGGTGCTGAGGCGCTGGCACAGGGTGCCCAGAGAAGCTGTGGCTGCCCCATCCCTGGCAGTGCTCAAGGACACAGGGGCTTGGAGCAAGCTGCTCCAGTGGAAGGGGTTGGGGTTGGAGCTGGATGGGCTTTAAGGTCCCTTCATCCCACCCCATTCCATGATATCACCACGCTGGTGACTTCCCCTCCTCCTCTGCCCCACTCACGGCTGCTCCAGGACCGTTCTGTGTGTGCAGGTGCTACATGAGGATGGAGCCAAACAACTGCAACTGCGCCAGTCCCACTCCCAGCCAGTGCTGCTCCTAGCCAAGCATCCATCCGTCCATCCATCCGTCCACCCATACATCCATTCATCCATCCACCCACCCAGCCATACATCCATCCATCCATCCAGCCACCCAGCACCATTCGTCCATCCATCCAACAGCATCCGTCCGTCCATCCAACACCATCCGTCCATCCAGCACCACCCATCCATCCATCCATCCCCATCCGTCCATCCAACACCATACGTCCATCCATCCAACACCATCCATCCATCCAACACCATCCATCCATCCAGCACCACCCATCCATCCATCCCCATCCATCCATCCAGCCAGCACCATCCATCCATCCATTCACCCAGCACCATCCATCCATCCCCATCCATCCATCCACCCAACACCATCCATCCATCCATCCCCATCCATCCATCCCCATCCATCCATCCATCCCCATCCATCCATCCATCCATCCATCCACCCAGCACCATCCATCCATCCATCCATCCATCCATTCACCCAACACCATCCATCCATCCATCCACCCAGCACCATCCATCCACCCAGCACCATCCATCCATCCAGCACCATCCATCCACCCACCCAGCACCATCCATCCATCCATTCACCCAACACCATCCATCCACCCACCCCATCCATCCATCCATTCACCCAACACCATCCATCCACCCAGCACCATTCATCCATCCATCCATCCATCCATCCATCCCCATCCATCCATCCATCCACCCAGCACCATCCATCCATCCCCATCCATCCATCCATCCATCCACCAAAGCTCTCCTGCACTTCCCATTGAGTGGCTTTTCCCTGTGCAGCACTCCCAGTGTTTCACTGCTGCCGTCACACACAGCTCCCAGCATGGAGCAGATGCTCTCCCATTACCCTGAGCTTTCTGCTGCACCCTCCAAATCCACGCTGCCACGCTTGGATTTGGATTCTTCCCAGAACAGGAGCGCAGCTCTTCCCTTCCTACTGCTCCCATTCCCTTCCCTTCCTGGGGATGCTCATCCCATTCCCAATGGCTGCATCTAGAGATGCTTCCTGCACTGCATCACCCCTGGACACAGTTGGGGATACACCAATCCCATGGGAACATCTAAACCCCCCCCATGGCAATACCTGGTAGTAATAGTCATCCAGGTAGGGATCAGTGCTCTGGAGCTGCATCATCTGGATCTTGGACACCCAATCCTTCTCCCGCTGCAGCATGAGGTTGGCGTAGGGATCCTTCCTCACCTGCTCCTGGTGGCTGCTCCGGTGGCCCCCTCGATCCCCTATGGAGCCGTTGAGGCTCCGGTGCTGGCTGCCGGGAGGCAAGAAGGGCACCCGTGAGCACACAGGAGCTACAGGAAGGGACAGAGAGCGGTGCAGAGGCTGCTCCCCAACAGCACGACAGAGGTTTGGGGTGCGGGGTGGGGGGGGGGGTGTGATCCCACCATTCCCAGTGCCACCATCCCAGTCCCAGTGCTCACCTTCGGCTCTGCTGCTGCCGCTGGTGCAGGAGGCGCCGGTGCTGCGGGTGCAGATGGGTCGTGTCCGGGCGGAACAGTTGGGGTTGAGGCCTGGGGTAAGAGCAGGGAACGTCAAGGAAGGGCCATAAAGAGCAAGGAAAAGGATGGGAACAGGGACACGGAACCCACCTGAGGCTCTGGAGGTGGGAGCTGGGGCCTGGTGGGTGCTGGAGCTGTGAAGGAGGAGGAGGAGCAGGGGGAGCCCCGAAGAAGGCACGGAAGCCACTGGCTGGAGGCATCATCTGCCCGACCCTGCCCTGCAGCAGCTTGGGGTTCACGGAGGGAATGGGGCTCCCCACCAGGCCTGAGACCCGGGCAAACTGGCTGGGGGACATGCGGCCCGCCTGGAAGGGAACACAGGGAGTTATCCCATGGGATACCCAGTAAGATCCATATGGGATGTGTGGGAAGGGGCTTTACCTGGGCTCCTCCGAGCAGCTGAGCTCTCTGCAGGTGGGTGAGAACGGGGGAGACGCTGTGTGGGAATGGGTGGCCCAGGAGGGAGGAATTCTATGGGAAGAGGAAGGAATGAGGGATTCCAGTCACAACCATGGTGCACACATGGACAGGGAGCGGGTGATGGCACAAGGGGGAAGGACCAGAAGGAGATGAGGAGCCAATGGGCTGAGATATGGGGCTAGAGATGAGCAGCCCCATATCCAGCACCATCAGGGCCTGGAATTGCATGTGGAAGGAAGGGAATAGGGTGATGGGGAGCAGAGGAGGCTGGGTACCGGTACATTGCAGAGCTGGTTGGGGGACATCCTCTCTCCATAGGGAGCAGGGTAGCGCTGCTGCAGGGTGGCTCGGATGTGGACAGGCTTCGGACACAGGATCTAGGGCAGGAGGGAAGCAGAATGAGCCCAGCACGCCCCCCATGGTGGGGCAATGGGATGGACCCACACACACATATACACATGTACCTGCTGGTTGAAGCTGGGCACAGCAGCCTGCTTCGGGGGGGTGCCAATGGGGACAGCACGGACAGGGGGGCTCCCGATGATGGGGGATGAGGAACGCCGAGGCAGCGCCCGCTCTGATGGGTCCCGTTCATCATCACGGGGCTGGGGAGGCCTCTGGGGCAGGGCATAGTCCAGCACGGACACTGAGGGCATCTCCTGCAGGGGGGGATCCCAGTGGGATAATGGGAACCAAGGGGGAGGAGGGATGGCACCAGGGAGGGAGCTTTAAGCTCATCCGGTCCAACCATCACCCAGCACTGCCCCATGGCACCATGGCACTGAAGGGAGCATCCCCTGAACACCCGCAGGGATGGGGGCTCTCTGAGCACCCTCTGGGGCAGGAATTGTTCCTCAGCTCCATCTAACCCTGCCCTGGTGCAGCTTGAGGCCGGTTCCTCTTGTCCCATCCCTTGTTCCTTGGGAGCAGAGCCCAGCCCCTCCTGGCTCCATCCTCCTGTCAGGCAGTTGGAGGCAGCCATCAGGTCCCCCCTGAGCCTTCTCTTCTCCATCTGAACCCCCCAGCTCCCTCAGCCCTTCCCCATCACCCTTGGGCTCCAGGCCCTGCCCCAGCTCCATTGCCCTGCTCTGGCCCCGCTCCAGCCCCTCAAGGTCTCTCTTGCAGTGAGGGGCCCAGAGCTGAGCCCAGGATCCGAGGTGCAGCCTCCCCAGTGCCCAGCACAGGGGCCCAGTCCCTGCCCTGCTCCTGCTGCCGCACTGGTGCTGGTGCAGGCCAGGACGCTGGGGGCTCCTTGGGCTCAAGCTGCTCCTGCTCAGCTCCAGCAGCTCCTTCCCAAGCCCGCCCCGTTCCATTGGGGCCCAAGCGCAGGCCCCAGCCCTGAGCCCTGCTGGAGCTCAGCCCATGGATCCAGCCTGGCCACATCCCTCTGCACCCCTCCTGTCCTGCAGGGAGCACATCCCATCGCTCACACCACAGTGGGACCCCCAAAGCCCACGTCACCACGAGCTGCTCACCCCCAGCCCATCCTAGAGCAGGATGGGGCCACCCAACCCCTTGTGCTCCCCTTTAGAACCTGACCCTTCCTGAACCCACAACAGAAACCAAGACCAAACCCCATTGCCCCGAGGCACCCACATCCCAATGGCAGCGTTGACATCCCTCAGGCACCATGGATACTGATAATGCCCCAATACACACCTATAGCATCCAAGGGGAACGATGCCCAAGAGGAGACAACCTGCACATTCCCTATCCCAGGCTGACCCATAGATGCTCCCACACAGCACCGACCTCCCCTCTCAGCACCCATCCTGCTCCCACCATGGTTCCCATCACCCTACCTGAGCGAGGAGCGGGCCCCTCATACGCCGCAGCACAGCCGAGCTATCCCAGATGCTGGAATTGAGCCCTCCAGCCTGCTGGAAACACACTGGGAATCAACAGGGCTCTACTGGGATGCACCCCCCCCCTCTTCCCCAAGGTGCTGATCCCAACCCCGACCTGTGTAGGGCCGCGGGTCTGCACTGCCTGCATGATGGCAGGGTCCTCCAGCTCGCTGTCGATGACCAGCCGGGTCAGCCGCTCGGCCAGTGTGGCCTCCGGGTCCCCCAGCAGGTCCAGGTCCTCGGTGCTGGCCCCATCCTGCTCCCTGCTGGCCATGGGTTTGTCCTCCAGCTCGGCCAGGCGCTCGTGGGCCTCCTGCCAGTCGTCATCTGATGGGGTGGGGGGTGAATGGGGGTTTAGTGCAAAGGGGTTGGGATTGGGGGAGCTTTAAGGGCCCTTCCAACCTAATCCATTCCATGGTGGCAATGGAAGGGGGGTGTGGATGGAGGGGATGGGAGTTTGAAGGAGGAGCAGCTCTGCTCTGGAGCCAGGCTGGGAGAGCTGGACAAGGGAAGGCTCCTGAAGGGGAGACCTTAGAGCAGCTCCAGTGCCTAAAGGGGCTGCAGGGAACCTGGAGAGGGGCTTGGGACAAGGGCCTGTAGGGACAGGCCAAGGGGAATGGCTTGAACCTGCCCGAGGGGAGACTGAGCTGAGCTCTTAGGCAGAAGCTCTTCCCTGTGAGGGTGCTGAGGCGCTGGCACAGGGTGCCCAGAGAAGCTGTGGCTGCCCCATCCCTGGCAGTGCTCAAGGACACAGGGGCTTGGAGCAAGCTGCTCCAGTGGAAGGGGTCCCTGAATGATGGGCATTGGAACTGGAGTTGCTTTATGCTCCTTTCCCAATCCATTCCCTATTGGGACCACACACTGGGGGCTATAGGAATGAACAGGAGGTGGGCAGCAGTGTATGCCCCCCCTATCCCCACCCATACTCACCAACAGCCCCAGCTCCAAACGTGTCATCATTAAACTGGTCGATATCTTCATCCTCCTCCCCCAGGCCTTGGAAAGCATCTTCATCCTCATCCAGCGGGCAGTCCTCTAAGGACTATGGGGGAAAAGGGAATCAGAACCGACCCTGATCCCCTCAGACCCCCTTCTGCCTCAGAACCAGACCTATGGGGGGGTCCAAGGGACGGGCTGGGGGGGGGGGTCAAAGGCCCAGCACACCCCATCTCTCTCCCACCCCGCCATTAAGCCCTATGGAACCCCTATTAAATTCTATGGACATCCCCCACATTAACCCCTATGGATGCCCCCCATTAACCCCTATGGACATCCCCTACATCAACCCCTATGGATGCCCCCCATTAACCCCTATAGACATCCCCCACATTAACTCCTATGGATGCCCCCCATTAACCCCTGTAGACATCCCCCACATTAACCCCTATGGATGCCCCCCATTAACCCCTATGGACATCCCCTACATTAACCCCTATGGATGCCCCCCATTAACCCCTATAGACATCCCCCACATTAACCCCTATGGATGCCCCCCATTAACGTCGACAGACACCCCCCACATTAACCCCTATGGATGCCCCCCATTAACCCCTATAGACATCCCCCACATTAACCCCTATGGATGCCCCCCATTAACCCCTATGGACATCCCCACATTAACCCCTATGGATGTCCCCCATTAACCCCTATAGACATCCCCCACATTAACCCCTATGGATGCCCTCCATTAACCTTGATAGACACCCCCCACATTAACCCCTATGGATGCCCCCCATTAACCCCTACAGGCTTTCCCAACAGACCCCCCCCTTTACCCCATATGGACCTCCCCATTAACCCCTACAGACCCCTATAGACACTCTCCCTTTTAACCTCTATGAACCCCCCCACTAACTCCTATGGACTCCCACTATTGATCCCTATAGACCTCTCCTTTAACCTCTATGGACCCCATGTAAACCCCTATAGGCTCCCCCCCATTAACCCCTACAGAGTCTTCCTACTACCTGCCCCATTAATCCCTAAAACCCCCCCATAGAACCCTATGGACCTCACCCACTAATCCCTATAGATCCCCCCCTCCATTAACCCCTATGGAACTTCCCCATTATCTCCTATAGATCCCCCCTATAGACACCATCCACTAGCCCCCATTGACCCCCCCATTAAACCCCTATAGAACCCCCCCATTAACTCCTACAGATCCCCCTATAGATCCCCCACATTAACCCCCACAGACCCCATTAACCACTATAGACCTCCATGAATCCTCCCCATTAACCCCTACGGACCCCCCCCCCCCATTAACCCCCACAGAATCCCCCCCACAGACCCCTATGGACTGGCCCTATGAACCTCTATAGACCCCCATGGATCCCCCCCATTAAGACCTATGGACTCCCCCTATTAACCCCACAGACCCCCCCATACAGACCCCTATGGACCTGCCCCAGGAACCCCTATAAACGCCCATGGACCCCCCCCATTAACCCCCACAGACCCCCCCTTACAGACCCCTATCGACCGGCCCCATTAAACCCTATGGACCCCCCCCCATTAACCCCCACAGAACCCCCCTTACAGACCCCTATGGACCGGCCCCATTAAACCCTATAGACCCCTATGGACCCCCACCATTAACCCCCACAGAAACCCCCTACAGACCCCTATGGACCGGCCCCATTAACGCCTATAGACCCCCATGGACCCCCCCCATTAACCCCCACTGAACCCCCCCTACAGACCGGCCCCATTAACCCCTATAAACCCCCATGGACCCGCCCCCATTAACCCCCACAGAACTCCCCCTACAGACCCCTATGGGCCGGCCCCATTAAACCCTACAGACCCCTATGGACCCCCCTCCATTAACCCCGACAGACCCACCCCTACAGACCCCCATGAACCCCCCCCCATTAACCCCTATGGACTCCCCCTATAGACCCCCCATGGACTCCCCCCATTAACCCCTATGGACCCCCCCATAGACCCCCTATGGACCCCCCCATAGACCCCTATGGACCTCCCCAGCTCCCCCATGGCCCCTTCCCCTCTCACCTGATACCGGAACATGGCGCCGGCGGCGGCGCCCACCGCCCGCTCCGGCCCTCGGGCCCCCGCCGCGCAGGCGCGGGCGCAGGCGCATGACGTCACCCGCGGCCCTCAGGGCGGGGTAAGGGACAGGGTGGATGGGGTGCGCATGCGCGGAGGCACGGCGCGGGAGAAGGGGGCGTGGCTTGAGTAGGACACGCCTACTTAGAGGGATTAAAGGCGCCGCTGGTCTTAAAGGGCCAGCGCACCCCGGAACGGGTCGGTTCCGGTGGTGATCCCTGAACGCATTCCCTATGTGCGGGTGTGTCCCCCCCTATCCACAGCTGTGTCACCCCCAGGGGTGCTCCTCGTCCCCAGATGTGCCCCATAGCCATGTCCCCACCAGCTGTGACCCAGATGTGTCCCCAGATGTGATTCTTGTCCCCCCCCAGATGTGACCCCCTTGTCTCCAGGTGTGATCCTTGTCTCCAGATGTGACGCCTCTACCCAGATGTGCCCACCCATAGTGACACATGGACATGACTCCCCCAGATGTGTCCCCCAGCTGGGACCTGTATCCCTGGCCACGTCCCCTGCCCCAGATGTGTCTCCAGATTTGTCCCCTATCCCCATCCACGTGCCCCCAACTCTGACCCCTATCCATAACCATGTCAACAGCCACATCCCCTGTCTCCAGTCATGCTCATTGTTGTGTCCCCTATCTGCAACCGTGTCCCCACATACCCCCTATCCCTATCCATGTTCCTTATCCCTATCCATGTCCCCTATCCCTATCCATGACCCTTATCCCTATCCATGACCCTTATCCCTATCCATGTCCCCTATCCATCTTCAGCTGTGTCCCCCAGCTGTGATCCCTACCCATAACCCTGTCCCTAGCCATGTCCCCTATCCCTGTCTATAACCATACCCCCATCCATGTCCCCTATCCCTACCCATAACCATGGTCCCATCCATGTCCCCTATCCCTATCCCTGTCCCTATCCCTATCCATGTCGCCTATCCCCATCCATAACCATGTCCCTATCTCTATCTGTGTCCCTGTTCCCATCCCTATCCCTATCCATGTCCCCATCCCCATCCATTACCATGTCCCTATCCCTATCCCTATCTGTGTCCCTGTCCCCATCCCTGTCCCTATCCCTATCATGTCCCCATCCCCATCCCTATCCCTATCCATGTCCCCATCCCCATTCCCGTGTCCCCTCCTCTCCCCCTTCACCCCCCCCCATCATGGCCCTCCCCATCCTCCCCCATCACCACCCTCCCCCCCCCCCCCGTTACCGACCCCGGGGGTACCGGGGCGGTGCCGCAGGTACCGGCCCCTCCTCCTGGTCCCTCCCCTCTCTCCCCCCCCCCCGGGGATTAACGCAGGGCCCGGTGCTACCGGTAGCGCCCGCTGCTGATGGAGGAGGCCTGAGAAGGGGGGGGCCGGGGGGGGGGGGGGAGCATCCTCATCCCTGCGGGACACGGGGGGACCCCCCCGCGGGCACCATGAAGGACCGGTTGGAGCAGCTCAAGGCGGTGAGAGCCGGGGGGGGGTGATGATGGAGCCCCCCCCTTCCATTGGGTGCTATGGGGATGGGGGGCACCATGGGGATGGGGGGCACCATGGGGATGGGGGGGCTCGGAGACCCACATTAATGATGGATGGGGGTTATAGGGATGGGGGGGCTCGGAGACCCACATTAATGATGGATGGGGGTTATAGGGATGGGGGTCTGAGACCCACATTAATGGTGGATGGGGGTTATAGGGATGGGGGGCTCGGAGACCCACATTAATGATGGATGGGGGTTATAGGGATGGGGGGCTCGGAGACCCACATTAATGGTGGATGGGGGTTATAGGGATGGGGGGCTCTGAGACCCACATTAATGATGGATGGGGGTTATAGGGATGGGGGGACCCTGATACCCCCCCAAGCTGTATGGGGGCACCATGGGGATGGAGCATCCTGAGACCTCCCCAATGCTCAATGGGGACACTATGGGGATGGGGGGGACAACAAGAGATCCAGCCCCACATCAATGGGGCCGTTGGGTGAAAGGGACTTTGGGCTTACACCTCTGTGACCCCATATGGAGGGCCATCAACCCCCCCTTATAAACACTGCTCCCCCCATGCTATGGGGTGCAATGGGGACACCCCCACCCCATTGCATGGGACTGGAGCAGGGGGCATCCATGCTATGGGGTGGCAGGGAATGGATGGGGGGTGCCCAGCGCCCCATCTTGCACCCCACAGCTCACCCTTCTCCCGCCACCACCACCACTTCCTCTTCCCATTGCCCGCCCTATTGCGGGGCCCCTTTCACCCCATATAAAACCTTCCCACCCCCCCTATATATGGGGGTCCCCGCAGCCCCCCAAGCTGCCCCCCAGGCTGTGGTGTGGGGCAGCAGCCGGGGCAGGGAGGCTTGGCAGGGATTTAGCTGGGATTATGGAGCCAGAGGATAAAGCCTTGGGATGGGAGGCAGGGATTAGGGTTATTTTTACTCCATTGGGAGCAACGGGGGGGGGTTTGGGGGGTCCCCATATGGGGTTTGTGCCCCATGGCAGGGGTGGGCACACAAAGGTGTTGGGGGGGCAGAGGGGGAGTGGAAGGGATGGGGTTGGTGCTCTAAGGGCTGGTGTAGATACAGGAGTGCATGAGGAGGGGGGGACCAGGCGCGACGCCAGGGTGAGGGGTGACAGCGCCTTTGGGTCCCCATTGAGCCCCAGCACTGCAGGGTGAGGTCAGGGGTGGAGGAACCTGTCCCATGTCCCCATCCCGTCCCCATCCCATCACCATCATTGTCCCCATCCCGTCCCCATCCCTGTCCCCATCCCATCCCCATCCCCATCCCCATCTCCATCCCCATTCCCATCCCATCCCCGTCCCCATACCATCCTCATTCCTGTCCCCATGCCATCCCCATCCCTGTCCCCATCCCTGTCTCCATCCCATCCCCATCCCATCCCCATCATTGTCCCCATCCCATCCCCATCCCTGTCCCCATCCCTGTCCCCATCCCTGTCCCCATCCCATCCCCATAATTGTCCCCATCCCCATGGGTGTCCCCATCCCCATGGGTGTCCCCATCCCATTCCCATCCCCATCCCATCCCCATCCCCATCCCCATCCATTGTCCCCATCCCATCCCCATCCCCATCCCCATCCCCATCCCATCCCCATCCATCCCCATCCCATCCCCATCCCCATCCCCATTCCCATCCCACCCCATCCCATCCCCATCCCCGTCCCCATTGCATCCCCATCCCTGTCCCCATCCCTGTCCCCATCCCATCCCCATCCCATCCCCATCATTGTCCCCATCCCGTCCTCATCCCTGTTGCCATGCTCCACCAATCCCTTAATTCCCAGCTGTGTACAGCCAGATGTGACAGGAACACAATGTCCTCCCTTATGTAGATGTCCCCCCCTTGGCCCACCATATCCCTATGGGGTTGTTGTCACCATGTCCCTATGGGGTGGTTGTCACCATGTCCCTATAGGGTTGTTGTCACCATCTCCCTATGGGGTGGTTGTCACCATGTCCCTATGGGGTTGTTGTCACCATCTCCCTATGGGGTTGTTGTCACCATGCCCCTATGGGGTTGTTGTCAATATGTCCCTATAGGGTTGTTGTCACCATCTCTCTATGGGGTTGTTGTCACCATCTCCCTATGGGGTTGTTGTCACCATCTCCCTATGTGGTTGTTGTCACCACATCCCTATGGGGTTGTTGTCACCATATCCCTATGGGGTTGTTGTCACCATATCCCTATGGGGTTGTTGTCACCATCTCCCTATGGGGTTGTTGTCACCATATCCCTATGGGGTTGTTGTCAGCGTGTCGCTATGGGGTGGTTGTCACCATATCTCTATGGGGTTGTTGTCACCATCTCCCTATAGGGTTGCTGTCCCCATATCCCTATAGGGTTGCTGTCCCCATGCCCCTATGGGATTGCTGTCCCCATGGGGTGCCCGTCACCCTCTGAGCTCTGCCCCATTGCCCCCCATAGAAGCAGGATGCGGACGATGACACGGAGGAGCTGGAGATCGCAGTGGACAACACGGCCTTCATGGACGAGTTCTTCTCGGAGGTGAGCGGTACCCAGGGATGGGGATGGGGGGCACGGGGCTGTCCCCTCACCCCTGCTCCTCCCCTTGGCCTCAGATCGAGGAGACCCGGCAGAACATCGACAGGATCTCGGAGAACGTGGAGGAGGCCAAGAAGCTCTACAGCATCATCCTGTCAGCGCCCATCCCCGAGCAGAGTCAGTGCGGCATCCATGTCCTGCATCCCCATCCCATGTGGTACCCATGTCCCGCATCCCCGTCCCATGTGGTACCCATGTCCCGCATCCCCGTCCCATGTGGTACCCATGTCCTGCATCCCCGTCCCATGTGGTACCTCTCCTGCATCCCCATCCCATGTGGTACCCATCTCCTGCATCCCCATCCCGTGTGGTACCCATGTCCTGCATCCCCATCCCGTGTGGTACCCATGTCCTGCATCCCCATCCCATGTGGTACCCATGTCCTGCATCCCCATCCATGTGGTACCCATGTCCTGCATCCCCATCCCATGTGGTACCCATGTTCTGCATCCCCATCCCGTGTGGTACCCATGTCCTGCATCCCCATCCCGTGTGGTACCCATGTCCTGCATCCCCATCCCATGTGGTACCCATGTCCTGCATCCCCATCCCATGTGGTACCCATGTCCTGCATCCCCATCCCCTGTGTACCCATGTCCTGCATCCCCATCCCGTTAGGTACCCATTCTCCTGCATCCCCATCCCGTGTGGTACCCATGTCCTGCATCCCCATCCCATGTGGTACCCATGTCCTGCATCCCCTATCCCCGTGTGGTACCCATGTCCTGCATCCCCATCCCATGTGGTACCCATGTCCTGCATCCCCATCCCGTGTGGTACCCATGTCCTGCATCCCCATCCCATGTGGTACCCATGTCCTGCATCCCCATCCCGTGTGGTACCCATCTCCTGCATCCCCATCCCATGTGGTACCCATGTCCTGCATCCCCATCCCATGTGGTACCCATGTCCTGCATCCCCATCCCATGTGGTACCCATGTCCTGCATCCCCATCCCATGTGGTACCCATGTCCTGCATCCCCATCCATGTGGTACCCATCTCCTGCATCCCCATCCCATGTGGTACTCATGTACTGCATCCCCATCCCATGTGGTACCCATGTCCTGCATCCCCATCCCGTGTGGTACCCATGTCCTGCATCCCCATCCCGTGTGGTACCCATGTCCTGCATCCCCGTCCCGTGTGGTACCCATGTCCCGCATCCCCATCCCATGTGGGACCCATGTCCTGCATCCCCGTCCCATGTGGGACCCATGTCCTGCATCCCCGTCCCATGTGGTACCCATGTCCTGCATCCCCATCCATGTGGTACCCATGTCCTGCATCCCCGTCCCATGTGGTACCCATGTCCTGCATCCCCATCCCCATGTGGTACCCATGTCCTGCATCCCCGTCCCATGTGGTACCCATGTCCTGCATCCCCGTCCCATGTGGTACCCATGTCCTGCATCCCCGTCCCATGTGGTACCCATGTCCTGCATCCCCGTCCCATGTGGTACCCATGTCCTGCATCCCCGTCCACGTGGTACCCATGTCCTGCATCCCCATCCCATGTGGTACCCATTCCTGGCATCCCCGTCCATGTGGTACCCATGTCCTGCATCCCCGTCCCATGTGGTACCCATGTCCTGCATCCCCGTCCCATGTGGTACCCATGTCCTGCATCCCCGTCCCATGTGGTACCCATGTCCTGCATCCCCATCCATGTGGTACCCATGTCCTGCATCCCCGTCCCATGTGGTACCCATGTCCTGCATCCCCATCCCATGTGGTACCCATGTCCTGCATCCAAATCCCATGTGGTACCCATGTCCTGCATCCCCGTCCCATGTGGTACCCATGTCCTGCATCCCCATCCATGTGGTACCCATGTCCTGCATCCCCGTTCCATGTGGTACCCATGTCCTGCATCCCCGTCCCATGTGGTACCCATGCCCTGCATCCCCGTCCCGTGTGGTACCCATGTCCTGCATCCCTATCCCGTGTGGTACCCATCTCCTGCATCCCCATCCCATGTGGTACCCATGTCCTGCATCCCCGTCCCATGTGGTACCCATGTCCTGCATCCCCGTCCCATGTGGTACCCATGTCCTGCATCCCCGTCCCATGTGGTACCCATGTCCTGCATCCCCGTCCCATGTGGTACCCATGTCCTGCATCCCCGTCCCGTGTGGTACCCATGTCCTGCATCCCCATCCCGTGTGGTACCCATGTCCTGCATCCCCATCCCATGTGGTACCCATGTCCTGCATCCCCGTCCCATGTGGTACCCATGTCCTGCATCCCCATCCATGTGGTACCCATGTCCTGCATCCCCGTCCCATGTGGTACCCATGTCCTGCATCCCCGTCCCATGTGGTACCCATGTCCTGCATCCCCATCCTTGTACCCATTTGCATCCCCTCCATGTGGTACCCATGTCCTGCATCCCCATCCCATGTGGTACCCATGTCCTGCATCCCCATCCCATGTGGTACCCATGTCCTGCATCCCCGTCCCATGTGGTACCCATGTCCTGCATCCCCGTCCCATGTGGTACCCATGTCCTGCATCCCCGTCCCATGTGGTACCCATGTCCTGCATCCCCATCCCATGTGGTACCCATGTCCTGCATCCCCATCCATGTGGTACCCATGTCCTGCATCCCCATCCCATGTGGTACCCATGTCCTGCATCCCCATCCCATGTGGTACCCATGTCCTGCATCCCCGTCCCATGTGGTACCCATGTCCTGCATCCCCGTCCCATGTGGTACCCATGTCCTGCATCCCCATCCCATGTGGTACCCATGTCCTGCATCCCCGTCCCATGTGGTACCCATGTCCTGCATCCCCGTCCCATGTGGTACCCATGTCCTGCATCCCCATCCCATGTGGTACCCATGTCCTGCATCCCCGTCCCATGTGGTACCCATGTCCTGCATCCCCATCCCATGTGGTACCCATGTCCTGCATCCCCGTCCCATGTGGTACCCATGTCCTGCATCCCCGTCCCATGTGGTACCCATGTCCTGCATCCCCGTCCCATGTGGTACCCATGTCCTGCATCCCCGTCCCATGTGGTACCCATGTCCTGCATCCCCATCCCATGTGGTACCCATGTCCTGCATCCCCGTCCCATGTGGTACCCATGTCCTGCATCCCCATCCCATGTGGTACCCATGTCCTGCATCCCCGTTCCATGTGGTACCCACGGGTGTCCTGCATCCCCATCCCATGTGATACCCATGGGTGTCCTGCATCCCCATCCCATGTGGTACCCGTGGGTGTCCTCACATCCCTGTCCCATCTGGTGGCTCTGTGTGTTCCCAGCAGTGTCACACATCCCATTCCCATTCCCATTCCCATTCCCACTGTGGTTCCTCCTGCAGAGACCAAAGATGACCTGGAGCAGTTGACAGCAGATATCAAGAAAATGGCCAACAGCGTCCGCAACAAACTCAAGAGTGAGCGACCGTGTCCCCATCCTGTCCCCATCCTCTCCCTGCATCCCGATCCTCTCCCCATCACTGTCCCTATGTCCCCATCCTGTCCCTATCCTCTCCCTGCATCCCGATCCTCTCCCCATCACTGTCCCTATGTCCCCATCACTGTACCCATGTCCCCATCCTGTCCCCATCCTCTCTCTGCATCCCCATCCTTTCCCCATCCTGTCCCTATCCTCTCCCTGCATCCCGATCCTCTCCCCATCACTGTCCCTATGTCCCCATCCTGTCCCTATCCTCTCCCTGCATCCCGATCCTCTCCCCATCACTGTCCCTATGTCCCCATCACTGTACCCATGTCCCCATCCTGTCCCCATCCTCTCTCTGCATCCCCATCCTTTCCCCATCCTGTCCCTATCCTCTCCCTGCATCCCCATCCTTTCCCCATCACTGTCCCTATGTCCCCATCACTGTACCCATGTCTCCATCCTGTCCCCATCCTCTCCCTGCATCCCCATCCTGTCTCCATCACTGTACTCATATCCCCATCACTGTCCCCATGTTGCTGTCCTGTCCCAGTTGCTGTCCCCATCACTGTGCTCATGTCCCCATTGCTGTCCCCATCGCTGTCCCCATGTCCCCATTGCTGTCCCCATGTCCCCATCGCTGTCCCATGTCCTCATCCTGTCCCCATTGCTGTCCCCATTGCTGTCCCCATGTCCCTGTCCTGTCCCCATTGCTGTCCCCATTGCTGTCCCCATTGCTGTCCCCATGGCCCCATTGCTGTCCCCATGTCCCTGTCTGTCCCCATTGCTGTTCCCCCCAGCTGTCTCCATCGCTGTCCCCATGTCCCCATTGCTATCCCCATGTCCCCATCACTGTCCCCATGTCCGCATCCTGTTCCCATCGCTGTCCCCATGTCCTCATCCTGTCCCCATTGCTGCCCCATGTCCCCATGCCCCCATTGCTGTCCCCATGTCCTCACTGCTGTCTGCATCGCTGTGCTCATGTCCCCATCACTGTTTCCATGTCCCCATCACTGTACCCATGTCCTCATCCTGTCCCCATCCTGTCCCCATCACTATCCCCATGTCCTCCTCCTGTCCCCATGCCCCCATTGCTGTCCCCATGTCCTCATTGCTGTCCCCATCTCCTCATCCTGTCCCCATTGCTGTCCCCATCCAGTCCCCATTGCTGTCCCCATGTCCTCACCGCTGTCCCCATCACTGTTCCCATGCCCCCATCACTGTCCCCATGTCCTCATCCTGTCACCATCCTGTACCCATTGCTGTCCCCACGCCCCCATTGCTGTCCCCATGTCTTCACTGCTGTCCCCACTGCTGTCCCCGTGTCCCAATCGCTGTCCCCACATCCCCATCACTGTCCCCATGTCCCCATTGTTGTCCCCATCACTATCCCCATGTCCCTATGGGGAGGTGGGGGTACCCCACAGCCATGGGGCAGGTCCCTGAGGGCCCGGCTCCTGCCTCCCAGGTATGGAGCGCAGCATCGAGCAGGACGAGGTGCGCTCCTCCGCTGACCTGCGCATCCGCAAGTCCCAGGTGAGCTCCGGCCCCATCCGGCCCCATGGAGCCTGTTCCCAATGGATGGGGATGGGATGGGGATGGGGATGGGATGGGGATGGGATGGGGATGGGATGGGGATGGGATGGGGATGGGATGGGGATGGGATGGGGATGGGATGGGATGGGGATGGGATGGGGATGGGGATGGATGGATGGATGGATGGGGATGGGATGGGGATGGGATGGGGATGGGGGATGGGGATGGATGGGGATGGGGATGGGGATGGGGATGGGGATGT